GGGTCAGGGCAGGGGAGCATACCGTCTAGGTGTGCAGAAAGCGGGTGGCCGTCCTGCCGCTGGCCAGTGAGGTGGCGGCGAAGGTCAGCCAACCACGCCTCGAACTCCAGAGGCTGACCCTCAACATCAAAACGAAGCTCAGCAGCCATGAGGGGCAGTGGAGGACAGTGCAGTGCGGTGCAGTGCGATGCAGTGCGGTGCAGTGCGGTCCAGTGCGGTGCAGTGCGATGCAGTGCGGTGCAGTGCGGTCCAGTGCGGTGCAGTGCGGTCAGTGCGATCCAGTGAGGTGCAATGCGATGCAAGGCGGGGCAGGAAAGTGCAGGAGGGTGCAAAGTGGTGCGGGGAACGGGGGACAGTACCAGGAAGTATGGAGGGCCGGGGCAGGTGCGTCGGGGCCGGGCAGGCACGACAAGGCCGGGCGGCGGCGACGGGGCCGGGCGGCAGCGACAAGGCCGGGCGGCTGCGACGTGGCCGGGCGGCTGCGACGGGGCCGGGCGGCTGCGACGGGGCCGGGCGGCAGGGACGAGGCCGGGCCGGACACAGCAGGGCCGGGCAGGGGCGACGGGGCCGGGCGGCTGCGACGTGGCCGGGCGGCTGCGACGTGGCCGGGCGGCTGCGACGGGGCCGGGCGGCTGCGACGGGGCCGGGCGGCGGCGACGGGGCCGGGCGGCAGGGACGGGGCCCGGGCAGGCCACAGCAGGGCCGGGCAGGGGCGACGGGGCCGGGCGGGCGAGCAGGGGCCGGGCAGGTGCGACAGGGGCCGGGCAGCCGCGACAGGGGCCGGGCGGGCGCCACGCGGCCGATAGGCCGCGACGGGGCCGAGCAGGGGCGACGGGGCCGAGCAGGGGCGACGGGGCCGAGCAGGGGCGACGGGCCGAGCAGGGGCGACGGGGATGGGTAGGGGCGCGACGGGGCCTGGAGGGGCGTTACCAAGCCCAGGTAGGGGCGCGACGGGGCCTGGGGGGAGCGCAATGGGGCCCAGGAGGGGCGCTACGGGGCCTGGGAGGAGCGCGACTGGGCTAGGGAGGGGCGCGACGGGGCCTGGAAGGAGCGCAATGGGGCCCAGGAGGGGCGCTACGGGGCCTGGGAGGAGCGCGACGGGGCCCTGGAGGGGCGCTACCAGGCCCTGGAAGGGGCGCGACGGGGCCTGGAGGGGCGCTACGAAGCCCTGAAAGGGGCGCGACGGGGCCTGGAGGGGCGCTACGAAGCCCTGAAAGGGGCGCGACGGGGCCTGGAGGGGCGCTACGAAGCCCTGGAAGGGGCGCGACGGGGCTAGGGAGGGTCGCGACGGGGCTAGGAGCACGACGGGGCCCAGCTAGGGGGCGAGCGGAAGCGTGAGGGGGGGGGGGGGGGGGGGGGGGGGGATCCTACCTACGCGTGATACCATATCAAACAGTGAAATTGATGAATAGAGAGAGAGAGTACACAAACATATACCTAACTGTTGTACTCTCTAGAAGATGACCCTATACAGTCTATACAAGCATGATAACTAAACATGTTTGACATCTCATTGGAGGTACGCATGTTACTGAAGTCCGTCGACCTCCATTGAATTCGGTTGAACCTAGTTTCAAACTTTTGGACACCACATGGGAAAGGGTTGTGGGTTGGGGTCCTGGAAAGCGCACCTTCATTTGGGTGCATCAGATGATGAGACATGTGTTGGAAATAATAACGGAACTCAAGGCATTTCCGGAGTCTCGCGTGAGTGTACGAATACGCGAAAACTGCAACAACGAGGATCACCGAGTCAACACTGCTACAATACCACCGACGGTTGACACAGGTTGACGATACCGCGCAGAGGTTACGAAAGGGCAACGGTCGCGGACCGTTGACCGTGCAATCCAACAGTCAGAAGCGCAAGAGACAAGAGTCAGCGCGACAGTAATGACAAATAACCGTCCCAATATTACAGTACGGGTGGTTGCCCGAGTCGCCTTATCGATTTGTAAAAAGAGAATTTACCCCTTGAAGTGCACAAACAGTTAGACTCGGTCAGATTTCAGCCACTAACCACTGAGTTAAAAGGGCTTGTTAATAGCGGGTCAATGCGCCCATAGCCCCCTAGGCTCTGCCACCTGTGGCCCTTCCCCAAGGATCTTCTCAAGGGTAACCCCAGCGGGACTCTCGACACCCCCCCTGCTGGGATAGGTGGAGGACACAAGCGCCTCTACTGCGCTAGCACTGGGAATTGAACCCGAGTCACCAACGCTGTGATAGCAAGTCAGAAATCAGCCACTAACGACTGAGTTAAAAGGGCTTGTTAATAGCGGGTCAGTGCGCCCATAGCCCCCCAAGCTCTGCACCTGTGGCCCTTCCCCAAGGATCTTCTCAAGGGTAACCCCAGCGGGTCTCTCGACAGACTCTTCATATTCTCTTGAATTATTATATAAACCTTGTATCCCTTTGCTATAATCAATCACTTCTTCTCACATACCAGTACAAGGGTTCAACTCAAGACATCCGCTGCGCTATCAAGCACTCTGTTACAAGGACTTAGCCTTCTGAAAAGATTCTAGGGCTATTCTCAGCCCAACATGGTATGAGAGCTAGTCAGAAGCTACGCTCCTGTTACAAACTCTCTTAGTGAGTTTTAACTTGGTTACAAAACCACTCGCAACAATCTCAGTTTATCAATCAAGGATACAAGATATGGTGCCATCTAAGGGCGATGGATCCTCTACTGGATCCCCCTCCGAACCCCCAGTCTTTGAACTACAGACTAAGGCAATCGCAGCAGCAGGAGCCTCCACGCAACCATTGGCCTCCTCCTCGGGCATGGACCCGAATCTCATGGAGAAATTCTTCTCCTTCATGTCGACCTACGAGCAGTCTTCTGCACCTGCTCAATCGATACACAGCAACAACAACAGTGGAGCAATTTCGATGAGCCTTGATGGCGCATCGCACGCAAGAGGCGCACAGCCTACACAGCACCAACCATACCAGCCCTCGCAAGGCTCGTTTACCTTCCTGCCGACTCCCGTGCCAGCAGTGGATTCAGAGACAGCAGACAAGCAGTCAGACATCGTCACCACGCAACAACAGTTCAACAACATTCGAAAACTGCAGACGTCCTCACCATTCAACGGCAAGGACTTCTTCGTCTGGAGCTTCAAATTTGAGTTGCTGATGGATGGCGCGCAAATCCTCGGCTTCTTCACCGGTTCCTGGCCCTTCCCTGTAAACGGGACTACTCAAGAGAAGAAGATTTACACATATCAGTCGCTGATGGCCTTCTCACCTCTTGCGCAACTTGACATCAACGGAGCAACAAAGCATTTGCACATATCGCAACTTCGACAACTTGGCCGAGCTGGCATATTGTCTCTTGAAGAGCGTCTACCAAGCAACCGACAGCGTCACTCAAAGCCGACTGATGGCACAACTCACGACGACCCAGATGCAACCAGGAGAAAAAGGGATGCCGTACATCAATCGCTGTAGAGGCTTACGCGACAAACTTCTATGAAGCGGTGGGCACTTATCGAAGGATTTGTTCATCACGGTCGTTCTTGCTGGCCTCAGTCCTCAGTGACGTACAACACGCTCCCTTTTACGTGCTCACGGGAGGATCTCCGAGATGCACTTGTGCGCGAAGCTTCACGCCGAGCAGCAAGACATGGACCTGTACGAAGAACGACACGCAAGGAAACCAAGTCAGTAACTCGCGTTCTACATGCACGGAAGCAACCACGACAATCACAATCAGAAATGACACTCACCTCCATATTGTCATCGATGCCGTACGACGGGACACTCACACTTCAACAGCCCAAGGCAGCAGCAGCAGTAGGAGTAGCAGCAGTCACTATTCACGCAGTATCAACCTTGAGCGCCACGTCCGTCATCGAGTCCGGTCGTTTCAACTCAGCAGCGCCCACCAGCTCCGACGAACTGCTCTGCACAAGACGCAAGGAACATCGTAAGCTGCATGGCACGAACAGATTTTTGTGTACCCGACTCCCCAACTCACAGTGACCTTGACGAACAACCCCCCGCTCTGACACAGACCCGGCTCCAACCGAACCCAACTTACGCTGCAATTGCTCGCGACAAACCGTCCGGCCACGACACTTGGTTTCTTGATAGCTGCTGTGGACAACACATGTGTTCTTCAGCGCGTTTCGTCCAGCGAGAGAAGACTCTGAGTCGAGAAGTCGTTATCACCGTCGCCAACAACCGGAACCTACACACACAAAATGAAGGGGTCTTTTAGTTACAATCCAGCGAGACAAACGTGATACTACAAATGTCACGGGTACTTGTCGTTGACAACCTTGGCTACAATCAACTAAGCGTCAGCCAACTAATGTCACGGGTACTTGTCGTTGACTCTGTCGATGTTTGAAGGGCAACGGTTGTTGACCATTAACAGGCAACTTAACTGCAAGATGTCCAAAGTCCGACACAACAGAAAAGACACATAACCAACCCCTGCAGAAAGGACACATATCGCAATACCTTATATGGAAGGACGCGCGTAATGGCGTCAGCAGTAGCAATTGAGTTCACGCGTATAGTTACCTGAAGGGTCACGCCACTCTCAGTCATACAAACAATCACTAATCATTGCGAATAATCACGATACTCTACGAATATGTATATCTCGAATAGGTACTTTATAGACTATAAATATGCCTATTTTATCCATTATTATTATCCTTATTATTTCAAAGATTTCCTTTGCAAAGTGTTAAGTCTTCTGTTGGCTTTTACTCTTGGTTCCACCAACTCTAGATCCTGACCACCTTAAAAACGTGGTTTACTCCAATATGGTATTCTGAGCAAGTAAAGTTACAAGAACCCGTTACAAGCTGATTTCAATTATGCCGTTAGGTTAAGTTTGAAATCTACATTATCATTATGCCAGCTAATAAGACAGAAAATTCAACTACAAATTCTCCTACTTCTGGTCTACTGACGATATATCAGACTTTGCTTCTGTGGTGGCTAATCAGTCTACTCAGCAACAACAAAAAGCTTCAACGCATCCTACAGCCTCAATGAGCCTTGATAACTCCAGTTATGCAAGCGCCGCTGGTGTGGATGGGCCTTCAGCCCTGGAGATAAGTCCGCCCAGTCTTTCGCCTTCTATGGGCGACATGCACAACAACAACAACAACAACAACAACAACAACAACAACAACAACAACAACAACAACAACAACAACAACAACAACAACAACAACAACAACAACAACAACAACAACAACAACAACAACAACAACAACAACAACAACAACAACAACAACAACAACAACAACAAATAGTAGAAGAAAGCCCATTCGCTGCTGCATTAGCCGTTGTAAATCAAGTGGATTTCCTTACCATCTCCAAGCTGAAGACCCCAACTCATTATGATGGCCGCGACTTCTATACTTGGGGATTTGAGTTCGAACTCCCCGCGCAATCTTCGGGCATCTGGGGACATTTTGACGGTACAACCCGTTTTCTTGAAACAAGAACAGCCAAAGAACAAGCACATTATTACAGGTATTCACTTATGGCCTACACGCTGCTGGTACGGAATCTCTCACCTGAAGAACAGCTGGAAGTATGGTGCTTCAAACCTTCAATTGTTCCAGCCTTCTACGCCTGGGATTACATGTGAAAATTGTATCAAACACAAAATGCAGTGACACAAAGCAAGTTGTTAATTCAACTTACAGCAATGCAAATGCTTCCAGGAGAAAAAATCAGCAGCTACATCAAGAGGTGCAGAAAACTTGGGGACCAGCTCGGCAAGTGCGGAGGAAACCCCTGCAATGAGCTCTTCATCAATATTCTTCTCGCTGGACTTGGACCTCAATGGGGGCAGTGCAAGTCAGAAACTTCTCTTTTTGCTACTCTGCTGGCAGAGCAGCAGGACTTGGACCTGTACAATGCAAAAGAAGGCAATACTAAGAGTGGGTTAAGCTTCTATACAGGAGGACCAAGTCAAGGGAAGCAAACAAGAGGTGGACCAGGTCAATGGGAGAAGACAAGGGCTTCTGCAAGTTGTCCAAACAAGCAGGTCATTATACTGAAGAGTGTCAGAAACTGAAGAACATGAATCGGGAGAAGTCAAGTGAAGCCGCCCCAGTCAAGATTGTCTCGCCACCTTCAACTTCTTCAACTCAACCTACAAAAGGTAAAGTGATTATCCGTTGCATGATTGGACCTCATTGATCTAGTGTTACTTGCTACTGGAGACGACGACTCAATGGAGTCAACGACAACGACATGGAAGAAGGACCTCCACATCTTCGTCCCTGTCCTAAAACTCCAGAGAAATCAGTTATTGATGAAGAAGAACCAGAACAGCCCACGGGTATTTCTCCACATTTGAACGTTGCAGCCATACGCCCACATCGCCAAGCGCGCGTATCCCAAGCACGTCAACAAATGGTTTCTTGCCAGCTGTTGCGGTCATCACATGACGTCTTCAAGCCGATAGCTGATATCTTCTCAAAGGGGAAGACTTGCATTATATTGGCCAACAATTAGACAATTGGGGCAACAACAATCAGAGTTGTACTGCTAGAATCTGACGACACGGGGATTCAGTTCACTTGAATAAGGTTCTTGTTGTAATGGAACTAGGCTTCAACAAGCGCAACTAATGGAGAGTGGAATTTGCTTCGTCAGCACAGCCAACACGATGCTTATGGAGCTATATCTGGGAGACAAGAGTAACTTAATTGGCCTTGTAGAAGTCAAGAACGGCATCTTGATTTTACTGTTCTCAGCTAAATCATCAACTGGTGACAGTAAGAAGGTTGTCTCACTCGCTCCGTAGCATCATCGTCGAGAAATGGATCGCCAACGCCAGGAACATCGCAGACTCAATGTCTTTTGTGTCATGCCTCAGCCTTCCCGTACAGCCTCCCTTGACGAACTTGCAGCAGAGACAACAGAAGCGGCATCAGCAGAAGCAGAAAAAAGGCAAGCAACTTGGACATCTGGAGATGGAAGCTGAGGTTATGCTAGCAAAGAATTTGCATCTGATACAGTCGAAGAACCTATGGAGGTAGAACGTACCAGGGGCAAGAAAGAGTTAATCGTATCTCATTCTTGGGCAAGTCGCCAAAACCTCGGCATCCCTTGGGCTGAAACTGCAGAAGGAACCAGATTCATCCAACCTTTCAGTACTGGTAACTGCGTTAACCCTGCGTCAAGGATTCACCTTTCGCTGGCCTAATTCCTTTACGCCGACTTGTATTTGCATTCAAAAGGGCACAAAACTATGGTCGAAATGTCGCATAAGCGGTTAGGTCATCCCTCGCAAGAAACTCTAAACAATTCAATTAGAGCCTCGGTTTTCGACAAGGCCACCCTCCTTCTAACCAACGGCCCAAAACTTCGGCCTAGCAGCCGCCAATCACCCTACACTATCTGCCCCATCGCTCACCCACGCTCAGTACCCGTCGTACTTCCCGAGTGTTTTGAAGTCCTCACCGGTGGACGTCGTATTCAGCGGCATCCTCTGCATGCCGTAGGAAGCAGATGGCATCAGCGACAATGAATATCGATACATAATTACCTTCATCGACGTCGTTTCTCGATATGTCTGGCACAAAAACATATCTCATAAGTCAGAAGCTCTTGACGCCTTCAAGCTATGGATGAACATAGCGGAGCGGCAAAGCGGCATCAAACTGAAGGAGATATAGATAGACAACGCGGAAGGGTACACTAGCGAGTAGTTTGATGAATTTCAGGGGCGGAAAGGGATTTTCAGGCGCAAGATTGTGCCTTTCGCTCATAAGCAAAACGGAGTAGCTGAGCAAATGAACAGAATTCAGCAGGAGAAGATGCACGTGCTTCTACAACAGTCCAACATGCCAGCCAATTTTTGGCCATTTGTGGTGGCGCAAGCTGTTCAACTGCACAACTGCCTCTCCTCAACCGCCCTCCCTCAATTCAGTTTGCCACATGTCATGTGGACAAAGCAGCCCGCCGACACAAGAGTTTTATGAGTCTGGGGCTGCATGGTCCAATACCGACCTCCGAGCGCAACTGTGGGCAGGTTCACTAAACGTGCTCGATAAGGAATCCACCTCGGTGTACCTAAAGATTCCCGCTCATGGATAATCATGGAGTACGAAACGCAGGAAGTTTTGTATGACCGCGACTACATCTTTTCGAGAAATTATTTTCAATGACTTCGAACGTGACAAAGAACGTGAGCAGCAAGATTCTGACTGCTACAGTGCTGAACGGAGTTTCGCCAGCCCCCATGACGAAGTAGATGCAGCCGAAGAATATTATATGCCTGCCAGTGTAGCAGCAGGACCGACTACAGTTGCACAACCTTCCATGTTAGCAGCTGAACCTGGTCCTTTGTCACGTGAAGAACCACTGTTCGACTCCTACATTCCAAAAGTATATGCCTACAGTACCGAAACCCCACTCTTCATTCCACTCCCGGACCAAGTGCGTCCTGCCATGACACAAGCTGCCTACAATTATGAGGAGCACCTGAGCCGACAGAAAATTGATGCAGCAGCACATGACCGCACCCGCCACCTACCATACAAAATTGACGATGACAACGTCGTTGAAGTTCACCAACCCTATCCTCATGGTGACCAACCGGCTCTTAAAATCCTCGAACTTGCTGTCGCAGTTCAGCAACCAACAACCGGGATTGAGCTGAAAACAATCAAGCAGGCTCTCTCTGGTTTGGAAGCAGCCAGGTGGTGAGAAGTGATGGATACGGAGGTAGCAGTTCTCGAGAAGCGGAAAACTTGGAGAATCGTACCATGTGAAGCAGGAAGAATATTTTTCTGGGCAAGTGCGTCTTTTGCATAAAAACAAATCCAGCAAATGAAAAAACCCATGGCATCGACTACAACCAGATTTTTTCTCCGGTGAGCCGCCATAACTCAGTTCAAATTCTTCTCACCATTGCTACCAGCTGCCACTAGCCACTTTGCCAAAAATGCGTTTTTATTTGCAGACATCGATGCAGATATTTGCGTCGAAATCCCTCACACTGATGACGACGGACTCCACATATGCAAGTTACGTAAATCTCTTGACCACATCAAACATGCTCCTTGCTTGTGACAGCAGCATCTTCACAATGCTGTGATTTCACTCGACTTCGTGCAGCTGCCCCATGATCCTGGAATGTACAGACTCGAAGATCGGGGACAATACATCCTTCATATCAGCTCTCACACTACTGCGCCGGATTCATCAACTGGACAAAACACATCACCCTTGGTTACTTCTTTGTCAAGGACGAAATCGATAAAGGAAAGGTCGTCTTGAAGTACTACCCTACCAAAGAAATGGCAGCAGGTTTTCTCACGAAGAAAATCGCACGCGTCAAATTTCAGTACTGCTCCAGCCTAGTTGGAATCTGCAAAGAAGGCAACCCTTACCCAGAGACATACACTCAGGAATGAAGGGGAGTGTTGAAGTGTACTCGACAGAGTTACCACATAAGCATTCTTGACTTTAGCTAGTCCTTACTAGTAGCGGGATACCTCATATGGAAGGACGCGCGTGATGACGTTAGCAGTAGCGAGTCAACGAGTAAACTGTAGGTTCGCGCGTATAAGTCACCCGAAGGGTCACGCCACTATCAATGACATGAACAGTCACTAGTCATGTCACGCAAACAGTCGCAGTACTATATGAACCGTTATATCCGGAATAGTTATAGACGTCTAGGGCCCTGCCCCGGTCCATGGTCTTAGCAGGGAGCACTTCCTCCTCGTCGTTGTTGATCACTTCTCGCTCTTCACCACGATGTTCCCACTAGAGTGGAAGGCCGACGTGCCTGATGCTCTCATCCTGTGGCTGCTCGGCGCCCACATCCAGCGCCGCCTGCCCGTGGTCCGTCTGCACTCTGACCGTGGTGGCGAGTTTGCCTCCGGCCGCCCAGGTCAGTTCTGTCATGCGGAGGGCATTCGCAAGACGTACACACTGCCAGACTCCCCACAACAGAATGGGTTTGCTGAGTGGCGCATTGGCTTGGTCATGGAGGTAGCTCGCACCTCCTTGGTTCACACTCTCCCAATCCCATATGGCGTAGCACATCCTTCAAAGGTTCAGCCTCCAAATCTCCTCCATATGCTTGGCGTGCACTCGACCAGATCTAGCGTACCCTCTCAGTATCCTTGCTCACTTTCTTGCAACAGGCTGATACCGACCAGTCCACTGGTCGGCTGCCAAAAGGGTGCCGTGGTATTTGGCGAGTACATCAGGAGTGGGGCTTGTGCTAGGAGGACGGAAGCCAGTGGTTCTCACTGGACACACAGACGCGCCGTGGGCTGATGAATTGGAGACGCTAAGGTCCTT